CCTGTGGCTCCTGCAGCGGCGCCTGAGCTGCCCGCCCTGGCGCTACCACCACACCGAGCCCACCAGCCCCCGGCGCCACATCCTGCCCTACTGCCCCGCCGCGCAGGACCTGTACAGCCTGGGGGGGGCCCCGGACCTGCCCCTGTGGGCCGCGAGACAGGTGCATTATGGGAAGGAGGCCGTGCGCTTCACCCTGTACTGCCGGGACTCCACTTTCTCCAAGACCCGGGCGCTCTACGCCGCCGTCCTGGGCCGGGACGCCTCTCTGTCCCGCGACGGCTTCTGCTGCTTCTCCCTGTTCTGCCCCCGCCCGGCCTGCGAGGTCCAGCTGGCCCTGAAGCGGCTGCCCCCGGAGGGGCGCCCCGCCCCCCTGCCCTCCGCCCTCCTGGAGTTCAGGGTGCGCGACCTCCAGGCCCTGCGCCGCCGGCTGCCCCGCCCCTGCACCCCCATCAGCCTGCAGCGCTGGCAGACGCTGGACTACGACGGCAACAGGATCCTGCTGCAGGTCGGTGCCTCGTCCAGCACGCGAGACGCGTGGAGTGTGCAGGGCAGTGTGCGAGACAATATTGGGCAGATAAAGTTTCTGTGTGAGTCAGGCAGTTATTACTGACATGTTCTTCCTAAATCATGGGCTTTATTACCCGAGAGCTCAGATGTTCTGAAAGCAAAAATGGATTGCCGAGTACCAGATCTTGGACAGATTCATCCCTTTTTCTAAAACTTGCGTGCACAGGCGTGGAGGCTTGAAAATGATCCTCTCTGAAGTGCACGACACTGGTGCAGACCGGCGTCACAGTTCATTTTTCAGACGGCCATCAGAGCAAGGCTGGTGTGTGTTTTCCAGGTTGGCCCCGACAGCCCAGTTCTGTGGAGAAGTGGGCTTCTGTCACCGGTCCCGGGTGCTCGCCCCGCCAGTCCGGAGGGGATCCCGAGCTGGCCCGCGGGCCCGCCCTCCTCTGGAGGCCCAAACCGCACAGCACTGGCCCCACGGGCCGAGACAAGCCGAGAGAGGCCCAGAGGGTGCTTCTGGACCTGCAGGTGTCTGGAGGGGACACAGCCTCTGTGTGGATGTCCTGTCTGTCCTCTGGCCAGCAGTGGTGACTCTTTCACCTCCTCTTCCTCCTCTGGTACTCTGGAGCCACACTCTTCCTCATCCTTCCAGCTAAGGAGCAGCAGCTCCCCACCTTCTCCTCACGGTGACTGGAGCACACATCTCCTGGCCCCTCCTCCGAGGACGGCCAGCATGGACCTGGGCTTCGCTGTCCTCCACAGCGGCCCGAGTTCCCCGGCTGGCCCTGCGCTGTCCGGCCCCTGGCCTCACTGCCGCTCGGAGGGCCCCATGGCACGTGGGAGGCTGTCGCCCCCGGCAACCTGCTGCCAGCCAATCCCGGAGCAGAAGAGGGCTTCCTGTGCGCTGCCCACCACGTGCGGAGATGAGTTTTACATTTAAACAGGCCGGACTGTGTGACAGGGGTTCGCTGAAGGAAACTGCAGGTCGGGGAAAAGAGGGAAAACGGCTGTATCAGACTTGTATTTATGTGCTGTTTTCTTGAAGTAGAACCAAGCAGCATTTACAGTATGTCAATCTGATCTGTGAATGATTCTTTTTTAGTTCTTGTCAGGGCACACTGCAAGGATGTACACTGACGCAGTAAAACAAGTATTCAAAAAGTTTAGCTTTTCGGTCTTTATACATTACTCACAGTCTGTGCATTAGCTTTATAGGGGGAAGGAGTGTCCGTTATTGGATTAAATCAACACAGAAACGCAATATTATATGATGCATGATCTATTCTGGATCATTTGACATATTGTTTGAATAATTACAATCAACAGTCAAAATGTTGCCTCTTTTTTAATCATAAATAAAAAGCTCTTTATTGCATGTTATAATTATACTGTAAATATAAAACGCAGTAAAGCACACAAAACACCAGCCACACCCAGCCTGAGCAACTGACCTGCCCCTATAGACCACCACTGATATTCCTGAAGTTTGCAGTTTTATTTGTACCTCGTTTTATAAGTTGTGCACTTCCTCAGTATTCCCGTTTAGCACATTTTTGCCGTTAAATCCGAAGTCCGCCAAACTGAGGGTTTACTGTCCTTTGATCAGGAACAGCACAGTTTCTTTAGATCACTTAGAAATCTTTCCTGAGTACCTTCTGCTGAACATGCATGGTAAAAAGTAACAATCCAACACAATCCAGGGTGTGAGTTCCGCACAGCTACTGATTATTGTGCTCATTCACGTTGTTAAGCTCACTGAAGCAGTTACACTTGCTGGAAGTCACAGGAACGCTGACAGGCTACACGGTCACTACACGTTGTTCTCGCCACGTGTGATGTAGAAAACAAAGTCAAACACCATGGAGAGAGAAGGGTAAAGTTGACTGACACTTTAATAAAATGTTTCCAGATTTCTATACAAAACTCCACGGCTCCACCCAGTTAACCCGCCCCCCCCCAAACCCTGCCCCCCGGACTCCAGTCAGGCACTGCACTTCATTCTGTCCTTCATCAGCTCCGCCCAGCCCTCCTGGTCATTTAAATAGGTAAAAACATTATTTCATGTGAGGGGGGGGGTCTTCCCGCCCCGCCCTCCTCCTCCACACTCTTCAGGCACAGTGATGTCACCTCGCTGTGTCTCCCCAGAGTGTTCCTCACAACCGTCGTACTTCATGTCCGCAGAATGACCATCGTAAGAAGACCTGTGTGGAAACGGCAGAGAGGAGCGGATCAGACCCTTCACACAGAGAAACCACGGAACCACTGTCACTGTTGTCAGGCTCTGGCTGTGCGAGTTGCCCCTTTATCGGGGTGCTGTTTTCGGTCGGAGCCGTGTGTGAAGAGGGTGCTCCAGCCCTCTTCTGGAAATTGCCACCGATGGCTTAAACAGCACGACGAGCGTTTCTCCCGGTTTGTGAATCGCCACCCTGCCTTTTGAATGTTGCCTCACATGCCTGCTTTATGCCCGTGTCCTCCCTGCTCCCACCTCTTCTTACCCACTCAGTCTTTTGTTCTCCTATGCTTTTTAATGAGCTACCTCGCCACTCTCCCCCTCAGCCTAAAGAAGGACTTTTCCTTCCAGCACGGAATGAGCCTTTTCCAGCTCCTCTGCAGCCTACGTCTGCTGACACAGCTCCCTGCCCGAACGCGTCTCTGGTTTGGCCGGTGTCTTAGAGTAGAGGCGTTAATTGCCATATGTACGCGTACGTTGGAATTGATCTCTCGGGACACACGCGGTACAGCAGACAACACCTCACAGTGTAGACAGTACATTAAAAACATAACAGCCAGAGCAATAAATATGTTGTGCAAACTTTGAGCCTGTGGTCTCTTCCTCTGCGCCAGCTGGGAATCGAACCCGGGTTGCAAGAATGGTGGGAATCTTGCCTGATACCGCTGCACCACGTGACGCCCCTACTTCCCTTCATCTTGCCCTGCCGCGATGGCGGCGGCGGTCTGACTGAGCTGGGAGCCGGTTCTGTACGAACCAGTCAAGCTCTACGTCCCACACTGCTCCCTTTAGACCAATCCAGTGACGAGCCACAGAGTAAACGAGTCACTACTAGCAGAACGTGGAGGCCGAAGGTAAAACCGGAGGTATTTGTGATCTGGACAGATTCCCAGAATACGACCGACACACCTGGGAATCCTCTGTGCTTGGAATCTGCGTGTCCTGTCCCGAAAATGGAAACGGGGGGGACAGGAGACAGGAAACGGGGATCCAATTAAATACGGAAGTGCCCGCTGTTCTCAAGAGGCCCCATGGAGACCTGAAGGGACCCCGCCTGTGGATGTGTGTACCCCCCAAAACATGTCTCCTGTTACTGTATGTAGAGGGCGCTGTTGAGGGCACATGATCTATCAATCCCTCTGGCCGCTGGCACTTACCTAAAACGTAAGCAGCTACAAGTTTCTTGTTAACACTTAAATGGAGGTAGACAGGCACTATTGACTCGATCTCTCCCAGCGTAGGCAGCATGAGGGCGGCCACACACACCAGGCCCAGCAGCACGGTCAGCAGGCTTGGTCCGGTCGAGGGGCTGCGGCTCTCTGCCGGGACAGACAGGTCAGCCAGTTCAAAACAAGCACCTCTTTCTTCTGACGGCTGACCGGGCTCTGCCTTTATATGAGTCGCGATATGCAGACTGTGCCTGTCCAGTGGGGATAACTGCAGCTCTGAGTGTCGGCTGCAAATCAAGGGGCTCAGGCTGTGGTGCAGGAGAAGCTCAATCCAGTGTCACAGCTCACCCTGAATTACCTGTTTCTAAAGATTGGGAGCGCCCTGAATTTACTGATCCATTAACTTAACTTGTTCCAATTAAGGGAACTCCAGTCCAGGAGGGCCGACTGTTTCTGATTCCAGTGATTTGCAGGATAATTTAACTAATTGCCTACAGGCGGGCACAATGAAATGGGCCCAGATCGGTAAAATACGATCATTTAATAGTTACCTAAAAAACCACAGGACTGGGGCTCTGCAGGAGCAGGCCTGGACACCTGAAGTGTGGATTGGCACAACGTAAGGTAACTGTGCCACCTTGTGGACATACTATAAATAGCATTCTTGCAAATATTTACAGGTGAATGAAGTTCCTTACTACTGCGGAGCTGCAAACAACTGTGATGTATAATTCTGGAGTTCAATTAAAAATAACTGGGAACCCAGATGGAACAAAATACCAGCAGACACTGGGGTCCCGAAGACTCGAGGACCTGGACTGGATAGATTAGCACTGCAGTCCAAGACACCACCTGGTGGCGGCGGCTGGTAACTGCAAGTGTGCCACCTGGTGGCGGCTGCGGGTAACTGCAGCTTTACCTTGCTGGAAGGCAGCCTGCTCGAAGAAGACGCTATCAGTTAGCTGCTCCTTTACTCTGCGCTCCTCCTCCTCCTGCTGCCGCTGCTGCTGCTGCTGCTCCTGGGCCGAGGGCAGCAGCGTGGCGATCACCTCCTTGCGCCCCAGGGCCTTGCGCTGGCTCTGCTCCGATACCTGAAGGCGGAACTTGTCGATCACGCCATAGTGGCAGGCGCGCACGTCCCGGTGACGGATAACACTGCGAACAGACAGGAGAGTGCCATTACCACCCACCGCCAGAGGGCGCTGCTCTGAAAAAGCACGCGTCTCACATTGACTGAGGATGTTGATGGAAACCGTGTGGCTCAGTGGGATGGTGAAAACAAGGCTGGGGGACCCATGCTTGGGCAGTGCATGCTGGGAGTCACAGTCCCAGCCTGGGAGACACCAGTTTGAGCAGGGCTGCTTGGACGCTAAGCTGGGCTTCACTGGCCAGTCTAGAGCAGCCCCCTGGTGTGGTCAGGATCAGGATCAGGATTTACTAACTGTGAGAATGTTTTCTATTGCGAAATGTTGTTTTGGACATAAAGTTTCTTTCGATAGAAAAAAAATCAGTGGGGAGGAGAGCAGAGTGATGAAGCCAGTTCACGGATGGGGATTATTAGGAGGCCATGACTGGTAAAGACCAGGGGGAAATTGGCCAGGACACTGGGGTAACACCCCAACTCTTTTCGAGACACTCCCTGAGATTTTTAATGACCACTGAGAGTCAGGACCTCAGTTTTACGTCTCATCCGAAATACGGCGCCTGTTTTTACAGTACAGTGTCCCCATCAATATATTGAGACACTAAGACCCACACAGACTGCAGGGTGAGCGCCCCCTGCTGGCCTCACTAACACATCTTCCAGCAGCAGCCTTAGCTTTCCCAGGAGTCTCCCGTCCAGGCACTGGCCAGGCCCACTCCTGCTGAGCTCCAGTGGGCTGCTAGCGGAGAATTGCAGGGCAACAGGGGTGCTGGCCGACGTGGTGGATTGGAAGAAATCACTTGACTTGAGCTCAGCATTCTGTGACTGCAAGTGCCACTGCTACTCAAACTATCAGCAAAGCTTTCTGCCCCTCATTGAATGTGAAAACAACATGAAGTCTACGTGCAGCTCATAAGTCTTCGGTGGGGTGAGGTCACAGTGAGCCGTCTCGTTCCTACACACAGGCAGCTCATGGGAAGGGCGCCATCGCCAGGGCAGAGGCAGGCAGCGTCCGAAGCACAGAGGCCCTGCAGACGGACGGCAGGTGACTCACATGTCCACACAGCACTGCGGCTTCACGGCTCCGCTGGCGTCCACCACAGCATACTTACTGGGCGCCGTACACAACACTGGGAAGAAGGCAAGGCGCCAGGGGCGGAAGAAAAGTTTAAAATGCGGACGACAAGGACAAGACACGCGCGACATCCTGCCAAAAATCAAGCGAATACTCCCAGAAGAAAAAAAACAACTCATTCATGCATTACTCTTTTCCTGGGGTTCAGCTTGCCGAGATTTCCATGCATGTTTAAGAGAACCCCCCTTTTAATAACCCCCCCCCCTCCTCCCCCCACCGGACAGGAAGCAGCAGTAAACCAGACCGAACAAGCCGATACCCGATGGAGTCAAATCCCAGAGAGTCCCGGGTGAAGGAAATTAGAAAACAAGTCTCCCCCCCACCCCACCCCACCCCACCCTACCCAGGCTATCCCTCCCCTGCCGGGGAACAGGCCGCGGATCGACACGCCGAACGCAGTGCTCCCGCACCAGCAGGACCTACCTTTGAACTTTAAGGCAAACTCGTAGGGGTTGTAGAGGGTGAGCACCTGTTTGTGGGAGGCCTGCTCGTCGGCGTAGAAGAGCAGCTCGGTGGGGAACACGAACACGGGAAGGCTTCCTTCCACAAGCTCCGGCTGCCTTCTGGGCGGCTGCATTGGCACCGGCTCTGCCTCTCGCCCTCCCGCCGCCGCGCTGACGTCTCTCCGGACTCCGGGGCTCGCTGCGCTCGGGGCTCGGCCTCAGCACCCCAGCTCCATCACGGACACCCCTGAGCGCAGAGCCGGGGGGGGGAGGGAGAGAGAGAGAGGGGCGCGGCTTACTGGCATGGCTCACACTGGCTCAAACTGGCAATGAACCCGGCCGAAACTCTCCCCACAGCGTTTTAATGACCACATAGCCAAGACCCCGGTGTGAACACCCTGCTCTGAAGGGTGGCGCCGCCCACAGCCCAGAGCCTACTGGGACGGCTGCTTGGCAATTCTGGTCAAAGGTTAGGGCACCACCTCCAGGCCCACCAACTGAACATCATCTCCCAGCCCTGGGACAACTGCAGATAAACTGGCTCCCCAGGGCCAAGAGGAGGGACACATAGTGCATGGAAAATTATAAAGCTATTATAAAATGCTTAATTCAGTTTCTTATTCACTTCAGTGCATTTTTATTATATAAGCATTCCATGCTCAGAAATATCGTTCCTGAATGTGTAGTAATGGAATGACTACTTTCTGACCTGGATTATTAAAAGTGCAGTCCTACCTACAGCTAGAGTGAAGGGGAGAAATATTAGTATATAAAACATACTTCACATCTGCATAATATTTTAGTAATCTAATAATCTCTTCGACTTGCTGGTTTGAACAGGAGTATTGCTTGTGGATCGTTGCGCAGAGCCTAGTTTACAAAAAGAAAACCTTCATTTCAGATCTTTGTTTCAGCAATTCACAGCCAAAGCAGCTGAACAGTCATCAGTACTATTTCTGTCCCCCAGGCTTCCATTCTGCCTGTGTCAATGGCTGGACACTTCCATCAGACAATGAAGGAGACTGCTGGACAGGCATGATTCTCTTCAAGTGACTATGAACTGGCCAGTGGGCAATGTGTACAAGTTGATGTTTATCTATCTTTTAGCAGGCAATACAACAGCTTCTGTTGCAACAACAGGTGTCTAACATGGCTGACTGACTGGTTTAGGGGACTGTGGCCAAGCAGGCTGTGTGGGTCAGGTGAACAGCAGTGTGAGATGATGGAACTGTGGCCAAGCAGGCTGTGTCTGTCAGGTGGAAGGCAAGTGAGATAATGGGACTGTGGACAAGCAGGCTGTCTGGGTCAGTGATGGCCTGAGATGATTAGTGGGCCTGGTTCCGTTCAAACAACATCCTATAAAATAGAATCTGCTACATGACCCCAGGAATAGAATGGGCGCAACTGAGAGACATCTAAGATGAGGTTCTGTTCTACAGGAAATACATACCAACAGTATACACCTTACCAAATGTGTTGCACAGGCATCCTGAAACCACAATTTCAGATAGGAACCATACTGGGTTTTTTTTTTTTGTCTACTTAACGTGTAATTATTCAAAAATATAACAAACATCGCCTCGAACGCATAATCTTTTTAAAAAACCCTTTGCTAAGCACTGCGAGGGCAGGCAGTTTAATTTAAAGACGGAGGAACCAGACAGGCACATGTTTCCAGAAGCCGAGAAACAGTCATAATCTTGACAGAGAATTAGGACAGCAGCCACGCGTGGCCGGGGCTGACGGGTGAGGCAGTCCAGCCCTCCGGCTCCTGACTCCACGTGGCTAGTCACGTGGGAGTGTTTACAGGCAGCCTCGGAAACACGCTCGGTGACGTCATGCCCGGTTGAAGCGTTCACCTGCGAGACGTGCCGATCCCTCTCCCCACGCACAACCCCTTCGTCTGTTCTTTTCACAAATAAAATAACGGCGCAGTCCACCCAGGAAAAGTCTCTTTGAGTTGGTTTTAATGGTGCCGGAGGCAGACCCTCGTTGACATCAATGACAGATCACGAAAGGCTGTAACAACACCCGCGTTTAAATGTATATTCATTTGGCACCCTTAAGCAAACCATTCCGAAAATAAACCTTTATTTATGTCATCGTATCAGTTTCGTTGCGGTAATCTAAATAGAGCTCGCTCAGCCTAATAGTTATTATATTTCGACGTCACCGCTAATATAAACTGCCTTTATTGTAGTACAACCGACAATCTGGAAATATATTTCAGCACCGTCGGCTGTTTTGTCTTTCACAGTAATAATGCTCCTTTACGGTAACACCAACCAGTACGTGCGTCCAGTCACTGTGTCCTGCGATCATCGCCAAATATGTCCTGGCTGGGCAGAGACAATAGCGGCAGATGCGGACCACTGAGGAAAAAAAATGAACCTCGAAACGATGTGGTCTTCCAGCGGTAAGAATATTTTATAATTAAGAGTTATAACTAGGCATTGCGATATTATCAGTTACATAAACGATGTATTGTAGGGAAAACAGCAATTGGCTTAGAATATAAGACATAAACATCATCAAATCTTTCCACAGCCTAATACAGATACTATAACCCCGCTCAGTGTGCTCAAACACCCAAGACAGCACCGATCACATTACAGTAATACAATTCAAATTGGCAATTAAAACCTCCCTTTATTAAGGGCAGCTGCAAATTAATTACTCAGCTGATAACGTACAACCATAACCCTATTTATTTTTTCAAGACCTAATTAAGATCAGGACCGACTAACTCATGAACCCGACAGGCACTCCCTCCAAGGCCTTTCCTCGCATCTAAAACGGTTTTTATAACGACCGATCTTACCCTCTTGATAAATATTTTTATTGTTGTGCAAATCCCACCCTGTTGTTTCCTCTTGTTTCTTTTTTTCTCTTTTCTTTGTCAATCTGCTGCAGTTCAAGGCGGAGGATTCTGGGACAGTGGAGGACCCAGGGAATTCCGCCAGTGTCGTTGGTGGTGACGTCGCCGAGGGGCGTGTCGTGGCGCTGGGAAGCCCAGCTAAAGCTAAAAGCGCCGGATAAGGATTTCTCTGGTATAGCGGTAATAAAAATTAGATCAGGTGAAAATATATTACATTTGAAGAGGTTTCCGGTGTGGTTGCCTTTCACAATTGGTAACCAAGGAAAGCGGGACTCGGATAATAACTTTTTCAGGTGGTTAGCTGCGTCAGCATGCGTAGGTTGCAAAGGAAC